TAAAATACAAACTCGACAAATAAGGAATGAGCTGTAATAATTCAAGGATTTATTAAATGCAAATAATTATCCAATTTAATACTGGAAAAGGTACAATAATATCTTTAAACTATTTGATATAGCTCAATTTTGTCCTCCGTTAGTAAACTGGGCCATTAAAATCCCCCACGTTAGCAAACCGGGCCAATAATGCCTTCAACCTAACAGCTAAACACATAAGCCTTCTCATTGGCATTAATTAGATGACATGGCATCCACATAAGCGGATCCACATAAGCGAATCCACATAAACTGCTCCGATAACCCATTAACCCGTAAAAAACACCCGATTATCACCAAATATAGGACCTAAAAACGTAAAAGGACTTTGGTTACAACCTCCAAACCCCATTTCTAAACCTTGTTCTTCCAACAGAGGCGATTTGAGACTTGAGGGGATGATACGATCGAGCATGGTTTAACAACACAAATTGAAGATCATCTGAAGATATTTAGGTAATTTCTCCTTCCATTTATTGGGTCTCTGTCTCGAACAAAGGGATTAATCCATTTGTTTTGTAATTTTCTAGGGTTTTGTCATGTGCTGGTATTTCTGATCCTGCAGCATATTGTATAGTGTTTGCATGTGGGTGTGGTACTCTTTTTGTTTGTTATCTTTGTTATTTCCTTATGTGGTGTCAATTTGTGCCCTAGGTCTACATCGTCTTTGGCTGCAAGTGTCTTTTTCACATATTTTATCATGGTGTGGTAGGGTTGGGTTGTTGAAATTGACAAAATCATGTGCTTTATCTCTTAAAGACAATATCTTTTTGCTTTCCACTGTGGTAGGATTAGGTTTTTGAAATCGACAGAAATAAGTGCTTTATCTCTTAAAGAGTGTGCTTTATTCTTTCCACTATATTATATGCAGTAATTTAATGTATGTTCAATATTTTATTGTCAAAGTTGTTAAATTATTCATCTGGTCCCTCTATGTTTTCTTCCATGTCTATATTATAGATATTTCAATATGGGGGACCACGAAGAGCCAATTTCAGATCAATATCAGTGTGAATTAGGTATTGATTGTGAATCTGATAGTGATAAAAGTTCAGATTATGGTTCAGATGCTAATAAATATGATTTTGAAGAATTAGAGTTACTTAGGATGCAAAAGGGTAAAGAAGTTAATGATAAGCTACTCACTACAAAGAGCTTGATAAGTCTATGACATTTAAGGACTTGGATTAGGCCAGAAAAATCATGAACTTCTATGCTATTGCAAATTCCAAACCTCTGAAGCTTAAAAAAAGTGATAAAATAAGAGTAAGGTATAGATGTGTAGTAGGCTGCCCTTTTGTATACCTCATCTCTGAAGATAAGAAGGGTCCTGGCTTTAAGATAAAAACATTGAAGACAAAGCACAACTGTGAAGATGCATTTGAGAATCCTAGAGCCAAAACAAAAACTTTAGCTCAATATTTCAAGAGTAAGGTGCAGAATAACCCCAAGTATAAGATAAAGGATATGAAACTAGATTTAAAAAATCAATTTTCATTGAATGAACATAACTCCACATTGAAAAGGGCTAAGAGGATAGCACTTCAGCAATTGCAAGGAAGCTTTTTAGATGACTATAACAGATTAGAAGCATATGCAAATGAGATTAGGAAGAGCAATCCTGGTAGTAATGTGGTTATCAATTTATCAAAAGATGCCATGGCTGAAGGTAAAAGAAGATTTCTTAGAATGTACATATGCTTCAATGCAATGAAGGTGGGGTTCAAACAAGGGCTGGGACCATTCATTGGACTAGATGGGACTTTCTTAATCATTGCAAGGGGCAACTATTGGTGGCTGTTGCACAAGATTGTATGAATCATTTATACCCCTTGGCCTGGGCTGTAGTTGACAAGGAAAACACCTTGACATGGACATGATTTCTGGAACTGCTAAAATACTCACTGAATCTGAAAGATGGAACCAGTATTACCTTTATGTCTAATATGCAAAAGGTACAACTTATGATTTTGTTTAACTGAATATTCCATTTATTTTTAAAATTATTATATAGTTAATTCTGTTTAAATTTACATGTGCAGGGTCTGTTGGAAGCAGTAAAAACTGTCCTCCCTCTCTCAAATCACAGGTTTTGTGTGAGATATATTGAAGCCAACTGGAGTAAGGGGATCAAAATTTCAGGAGAGATGAAGAAATACCTATGGTGGTCTGCTTGGAGCACTTATGAGGAGGACTTTAAAGATAAACTAAAGAATCTTGGCGAATTGTCTGTTGATGCTACCAAGGAGTTGCTTAGGTATCCACCACAGAATTGGTGTAGGTCATACTTTGATACATTGTGCAAAAATCAGATGGTGGACAATATTTTTACAGAGTCCTTCAACTCTTGGATCTTAGAAGCAAAAGGCAAGCCTATCCTGAAGATGCTCGAGGATATTAGAATCAAGGTCATGAACAGGTTGAGAGAGACGGAAGAAGAAGCTAGAACATGGGGAGGTGAGTTCAGTCCTAACTGCATGAAGTTGTATGCTGCTTATTTGAAGGTAGCCAACTTATGTACTGTTCATTTCAATGGTGAAACTGGCTATGAGGTTTCTGAGGGTGATGATAGACATATAGTGAAGCTAGTGGAGAAGAAATGCACTTGTAGATCCTGGCAGTTGACTGGCATCACATGCCCCTATTCCATCACGACACTAAAATACAAGAGAGAGGATCCAATGACTGAAATTAGTTGGTAGTACAGCAAGGAAGCTTAACTGATGACATATAGGGCCAAGTTGATACCTGTTAGAGGTGAAAAGTTCTGGAAAGTATTACCAGAACATGTTATGGAATCTCCTCCACTTGCCAAAACTGTTGGAAGGCCAAAAGTCAAAAGAAATAGGGAGCACGATAAGGCTAACAAGAGACAAGGAGATTGGGTTGCATCAAGAAGGGGAACTAGAATGACATGCATCATTTGTGGTGAACTGGACCACAATTCAAGAACATGCAAGGTACTTTCTTCTTAACTTATCTTTCTTCTTATATAATTTCAGTTATTTAATAGAAAGTTTTTCTTTTTAATTATAGGTTGGTGCTGAAGAAAATGTTGAGGATGTTAGTTGTTCAGCCCCTCAACCAACACAAGAAGGTGAACATGAAAGTGAATTTGTGTTCATGCCTACACCTAGAATACCAAGACACCAAATAGAACCCTTTGGTGATGGTAGTGAGCATGAAAGTGACCCTGCTTTAATATCTAAGATTATTTCTGAAGATCAAACAAGACTGTTGATGAGGCAGAAATAATTGACGTCAATTGGGACAAGAGTGATCTCTTTCAGAAGAGATCATACTGGTGTCAGTTATCCCACTGATCTTCCTTACTCACCTACTAAGCTCACTTGGAAAGGTAAAGAAGCAACGACTGGAAATCAATTGAAAGTGGCAAGACAAAAGAAAGTTAGGAAGTTGAAGAGCAGGAAACTCAATGGGAACTCACAAATCTAGGAATCTTGGTTATTGTATGTAGTTGCAAATCTGGCAAGACTTGTTTAATGTGTTTTGGTGTTAGTTCTCGCAAACTCTATGATAGCAGTAAACATGTTTTGGTTTTAGTAGCAGCATTATAGCAGCAGTAAACATGTTTTGGTTTTACTGCAAACTCTATGATAGTAAAATGACATATAACATTGTATGTTTTGTTTTGGTGTTTTGGTTTTACTATAAAACTAATATTAAAGCAGTTCTGGTTGCAGTTTAGTTAGCACGTTAATATGCTGTGGTATTTGCACAGCAGTTTAGTTAGCCATCAGTTTAGTTTGCCAGCAGTTTAATATGCAGTGGTGTTTGCACAACAGTTTAGTTTGTCAGCAGTTTAGTTCGCACAAAAGTTTAGTTTGCTGGGCAGTTTAGTTGAACTGCTGTGATAAGTTGAACTTCACATGAATTAGTCCATGAAGGTACAGTTGAAATATCATATGTGCAGTTCCAACTCCACAAAGCAAACCAAATGTCAATCAAGTTAAAAAGGAGGAAGGACTTAAAAAGCAGTCATAATGTAAGCCCAACAACTGAAATAACTTTTCATAAATAAATATGCCAATAATCACCATTATAAGCTCTGCCGCTTGCCAATAAATAAACATGTGCTTTTATATCACGGTCATACGTAACACAAGAACATGCATAAAGAAGATGAAACAGGAGGAATGATTAAACCAACATATTACAACTTACTAAACCAACATACTACAACTTACTAAACCAACATACATTCACTTCATCATCCCTATAACTAAACCAAAATACTACAACAACATATTAAGACAACATATATTCACTTCATCATCCCTACGACAACCAAAGCAAATAACAAAGCCCATGAAACAAAAATAATAGTTCTCATCTTCTTCACTTTGACCTCTAAATTACTAGTTTTTTCAGCTTCCACAAGTTGAAATTGCTCCATTTCGTCAAGTTTCATCTTCAAATTATGCCTTTCAACCATGATAACATCTTCCATTTCATCAAACAAGTTCTTAGAGTTGTCTCTTTCGACTTTAATAGCATCCTCCAATTCCTCAACTTTCATCTTCATAGGGCCCCTTTGAACTATCGTAGCTTGTTCCATGAGGTAAACTTTATTCCTCAAATTGTTCCTCTCAACCTTAGCAGCATCAAATTTAGTTTTTAAATCTTTGATCACCATCACCGCTCGACGAGGGAGCTCTTCGTCAATCCATTCAAAAAACCCGCAAGAACTAACCTACATCATATCAGAATTTTCAATGAAAATATTAGTCATTTTTGGTATATAAACTGTAAAAATCAAGAACGATCTAACTCTACAAAAGAAGATGAATCAGATAAATTGACTAAAAACGAAATAAATTCAAAACTAACCTTGGATCTTGGACATTTTTAGAACCTTCTCCCAGCATTGGTGTCTGACCAAGCTATCAAATATAGTGCAATCAATCTGCTATGACACCTTCTTACATATTGAATTTCATGCGCATTCACAGATAAATCAGACATTTAGCAAAAATTTTGAAGGGAAAATGGAGATTTTTAAATTTGGGGAACGATAACAATTAGGGATTTGTAATGGGTGACTATCGGTATAAGAAGAGGGAAAATAAGAAGAGAGATCCGCTTATGTGGATGCCATGTCAGCTAATTAATGCCAATGAGAAGGCTTATGTGTTTAGCCGTAAGGTTGAAGGCATTATTGGCCCAGTTTGCTAACGTGGAGGATTTTAATGTCCCAGTTTACTACCAGAGGACAAAATTGAGCTATATCCAATAGTTTAAGGATATTATTGGACCTTTTCCGAATTTAATATATAAAAATGTTTAAAACTTTAAACCAATAAAATTTGCACATATAAGCCTGAGTACGTACTCGTCACCTCGCGTACGTGACTTCCAATCACACAATTTCCACATAAGACTCAATGCCTAAGGGGTAATTCCTCCACTCAAGGTTAGGCAAGATACTTACCTTTTTGAAGTTATGCCGATATTCCAAAATCGCCTTCTTGCTTGAATTGACCTCCGGACATCTCAAATCTATCCAAATTAATTGTACAACTTCATTAAAATTCATCGGAAACAATTCTGGATAATAAAACGTCGACTTAAAATTTTATTCTAAAAAGTCAACCAAAGTCAACGCGGGTCTCGCCTCTCGGAACCCGACATAATTTTCATGAAATCTGAACACCCATTCCGATACGAGTTCAACCATACCAATTTTGTCAAATTCCAATAACAAATCGTCCTCCAAATCTTGAATTTTTATTTTTGGAAGATTTTGCAAAAAATTTAATTTCTTCCATTTAAATTCGAATTAAACTATGAATATAACCATGGATTTATGAAATATAATCACTTTTGGGTATAAAACACTTACCTAGATGATTTTCTTGAAAAACCCACGAAGAATCGCTCAAAACCGAGCTCTACAACTTCAAAAATGATACAAATGGCTAACCCTCGAAATAGAGTACTTTTATGTTCTACCCAGGTGTTTGTACATCGCTATCACGGAAGAACTAATGCGATCACGAAGGAGAAAATGGCTACTGCCTCAAAATGTACTACGCGATCGCGTAGAAGAAATGACATTGCCCACAAAAGGGCTCTACGCGAACGCGGAAGGGGGGAGTGCGACGCGATGAAGCAAAATTCAAAGGTTCGCGATCACGAACCTTACTCTACGAACGCGATGAATAAAAATATGGTACGTCAACAATACACTACACAATCGCGTGAGATAGCATGCGATCGCAGAGGAGAAGAGGAAATCATCAGTTGTTACAGTTGGGCTATGCGAACGTGGGCAGTGAGGTGCGAACGCGGAGAAGAAAAAGGCACACTTCTGCTATCGCGGACAGGCCTATGCAAACGCAAAGAAGGAAAATGGTAAGTCCCCCAAACAGCCTTCGCGATCGCACCTTCACCTACGTGGTCACATAGAATGGAACACCAGATATCAGAACCGCCATCCAAAACAAGAGAAAATGATCCGTAGCCCATCCGAAACATACCCGAGACCCTCGAGACCTTAACCAAATATACCAACACATCCCAAAATACAATACGAACTTAGTCGAGGCTTCAAACCATGTCAAACAACGCTGAAATTATGAATCACGCATTGAGTCGAATTATGAGTTTTCAAATCTTCCAACTTATTTATTTTGCGCCAAAATGTATCAAATTACTCCGGAATGACTTTAAATTTTGGACACAAGTCATAAATGACGTAATGGAGTTGTTCCAATTTTCGGAATCAAAATCCGACCTCGTTATCAAAAATTCAACCTTTGGCCGAACTTTCCAAAAATCTTATATTTTCCAACTTTCACCAAAATGCGTCGAATTGTCCTAGGGACTTCCAAATCCAAATCCGGACGTACGCTTAAGTCCGAAATCACCATACGAAGCTATTGACATCATCAAAATTCTATTCCGGAGCCGTTTTCTCAAAAGTCAACTCTCCAGTCAACTCTTTCCATTTAAGCTTCAAAAATAAGAATTGTTCTTTTAACTTAATTCCGAATCTTTCGAAAACCAAGCTCGACTACATACGCGGGTCATAATACATATTACGAAGCTGCTCGAGACCTTAAGTCATTGAACAGGGCGTAACTTCTTAAAACGACAAGTCGGGTCGTTACATTCTTCACCTCTTAAACATACGTTCGTCCTCGAACGTGCCAAGAATCTTTCTGAGGACATTAAATTACTGAGTGTATTCTTACACACATACTCGCATGTGATTCTACGTTCCCGCAATTTAACACGGGTCCGACCACACTATCTCAACTAAGATTATTCCTTTTTTCCCTCTTTTATAAACATTAAAGCCAATTCCTTACACTCCAATTAATTTCAAAAGGCTCGATTTTCCATATTAGCACACTGCGTTAGTCTCAACCGGCGGTAGCAATTTCGGGCCTACACACACATTATACATATGCCCATAATCACATCTCTGGTCATAATAATTGTTCATAATTAATTTCAGTATCCTCAATTAATCTTATATTAACCAAAATCTTGTTTTAAAATTTTCACAACACTGACAGCAACATGCGAGGCATGAAGACCTCATAATTATTTATCCGAATTAACAAGTCGCATTTAACGCCACCTGAGCACTCACCTTATAGGATAAAATTTAATATTTACAGCACGAATATGGTTAAATATGCACAGAAACACATCAAAGAATTATCAAATAAGC